TGTGAAAGCTTCACCGACACAAGCTACTTTTATTGATTGATTGATTTGTGGGGTATAACGTCCCAAAAACAAGCTACTTTTAACTTTATTGATTATTCTGTATAGTAATCCACAATCTAAAGTTGTTGAGTAACATCATGCAATAAAGGTATGCACTAAGTGGTGGAAGTATGCATCAATGACAGGATCGCTATCGCATTCATCGCTTAAAGGAAAAGCTTAACGATACCCATTTTTTTTTTTTCGGACCTGCAGGAAAGGTTCGCCTCGCCCCCAATAGACCCTGTTGCTGACAGCGTTGCCTCAAAGCTTGAATCTGCCTTGGAAAGAATCCCAGGTTGCATGTGCTAAAGCAAGTGTCTCAAGTTTCGAGTGGTGCTGATTCAAATATTCTGGATGCAATTAAAACATTAAAAGTGCTAGGCCACAAGTACACTTCACTAACTTCAGTAAGCGCAGAGCATTCTTTTTCGCATAAAAGCAAATACTGACTGAAAGCAAGCACAATTCAAGGCCAAAAACCTTGAGACGATGCTGGTTTTTCACTGTTTTTTTCATAGCCTTTCCCACAATGTCAAATTACCTAGGTTTTCACCTAAATCAGTTCAAATGATTGTGCTTCTTGCTATTCCTTTTCATAAAAAATATAAATTTAGCTTTCCTAAAGCACAGAATTTGCCTGCTGTGTTTGTTAGAAGTTGAATATTTGCCTGAGCATGCTACTGAAGTAATTATGAATTGTGCCTATATATGCCTAAATGAAAGTTTTTAATGCTTATTTATGCTTAAATGGCAGTTTTTAGGGCCTATTATAGGCACCTAAAACATTCTTCTTTTGTACCTAAAGTTCCAGTCTCTATTTATCACCACCATCATCATCATGGTTAGTGCATAGCGCTGGCAGTGACACCTGGCGGCAGGCCTGGGGGGTGGCGCCCGAAATATGAGCGGTTCTCTTTAGCGGGTGGCAGTCTGCACGAATGGTTGTCTCTCGTGTGGGTCCCCAGTGCGCGGCAGCGCAGTTTGCGCGCCAGGGGCTTTTGCGGTGAGCCAAGCATTGGCGAAGCCACCTTGTGTGTGTTCTTGTGTTTGTCATGTTGTTGAGTGTTGTGTAATAATGTATAAGGTTGTTTTAGCGTGATCACCATTGATGTTATAATGATTTGGCTGACGATATCATCAATCTAAAGACAGTTAAATAAATGTGTGTTGTGTTGGTTTGGTTTGTTCAGATCGCATCGACTGTGTCCATTCACTCCAAGAGAGTGGCGCTCTCCATTTCGAGACCCCACAGGCTATGGCTGCCTCTACTGTTCCCTCAAAAAAAGAGGCAGGAATATAGACAGCCGCAGTGACCTGGGTGTGAGTTGATGAACGGTATTGGATAATGATGCCTGTTCCCATAATCGGCATCGACCGAGAGCACATCATTTGAGGAGGAGAATCTTTCTTTCAGAGCCCTTGCGCACTGCCTCTTGCGCTGTTTGTGGTGCTCAGGGTGCATGGTTTTGGGAAGTGGGGGAATGTAGAGGTTCTCGAGTATGTTGTATGAAATTATGTACTTAGCATTAAGGATGGGTGCCAGAGTTACAAAAAGGATTTGTAGAATGTTTCGGCCTGTCACTGTTTGTCTTCTGTTATAGTGCGATGCAATATGGGTTTCTTCAAGGTCAGCAAAGGTGTTTAAGGTGCCAGTACGCATAATTAATTCACTGGAAGTCCATATGGGCACCCCTAGAGTGAATTTATGGTTCTGTGTAAAAGGATGTCAATGTGACCAGATTTTGATTGACAAAAAAAATGTGGATAAGAGGTTGAAAATGTTATTTTACTACTAACGAAGGCCTGGACCAAGCAGATGAGTTTGGCCTCTTTTAGCCCACAAAGTGTATTACTTTTGACCCAGAAGGCGCAAGGTTTGATCCACAGTGGTGTGAAGTGTTTTTAATGTGTGTTTTGAGCTGGTTGCTTTGAATGTGTAGACCAAGTACACAGAGCTTCACACACCAATAATAGGGACATTGTTTACGAACACCTGTATATTGACTATGTGGTTTTTACCCCCTCAGTGAGATGTTAGGAGTAGTTCATATTCCTGAGGGAAGCATGCAAGATTCATAGCCCCTGCAAGTGCCATGACCATATTGGCTATGGCTTGCAGAATGTCTTGAATCTATCCAACGAAGCCGCCACTCATCCAAAGAGTGATATCGTTGGCGTAGAACGAAAACTTGAGATCAGCAATATCTCAATGCTCGTGCCAACAGCATCATGGAGACATTGAAAAGAAAAGGTGACAGCACTGGTCTTTTATGTGTCCCAAAGGCCCCCGCAGCATACGAGGGCGATTGATCTGCGTCTATATATACGATTGCAGAACAGTTGGCTAAAAAGTTAGCGATATACAGGAAAGCCTCATTAATTCTAACTCTGTTATTTTGAAATCCTGCTTAATTCAAAATATTTCCACGGTCCCGTATTTTGCAATCCAAGTCTGTGCAAATAATTTGAAGCATCGGTTAGCACGACTGGTTAATTCGAAAACTATTGGTGCCATGTGCCAATTCCTGATCCCGATTTCGCCGCAAATCCGCTGAAACGACAGCTCTTGCAAGCCACGAGGTTATGCAACATAGCAATAATAATGAGTGGCCAGCCTCGCTACTTCCAGTGCAAAAAAAAAGGGGGGGGGGGGGACACATCTAAGAAAAAAAAAGCGGTGTCATGATCAACTAAAATGTGCACTTGCAGAAAGCAAAACCTGCTTCACTGCAACACAGCAGTGACATGTAAAGAAGCACATTGCATGCTTCTCGCAAATCCAGCACGTCGTGATTCACCCATTATTTCTGGGAATATAAAGAAATAAATAGAGGGCAGTAAATAAAGTTTTTTTCATTCCAATAAAGGGCAGTTTGACAGAATTCCATATGTATGGTAACCACCAATGCCGGTTGCTCCAGCAATTTGCACACTTACACTGCTGGCGGAGTTCTTGCCTGCAATGCCTACAACGAAAACCGAAAGCTTCTACCATCGAGTTTTCCAGCCATATGAGATTGCAAGTTTCATCGCACTGGCCTTTATTAAATTCTTTATTTTAGCAGAAAGAATGGGCAAGTAGCCGTATGAAGATGTGCTGACAAAGCGAGAAGAAAGCGATATGCTGCCCGTGTGACACTACTGTGTTGCAGTGAAGATGTCTTGTTTTCGGCAGGCGCGCGTTTTAGTTGGTCACGACAGCTCCTTTTTTTCTTCAGTTTTTTTTTTCAGCAACAGCAGTGACGCTCGCTGCTGTCCCATATTTGCGGCAAAATTATGGTCGGGAAATGCTCAAAAACATGACCCTTGGAGCCACAAACTAGCCGGCACAGCAAACAACCAGGCCTGGTTACTTTAAATAATTCCGCTTTTTCACTTTTCCTATGTTCTGTTAATTTGAAAACCCACTTAGTTTGAAGATTTCTCACAGCCCCAGTGACTATGAATTAACGAGGTTCTACTATAGTCGTATGTCTTTTCGTTAACCCTTATGAGATAAAATTCTGAGGATAGCAGAATGAGCAACGTTATTGAAAGCTCCACAGAGGTCCAGACTCAGAATTTCTGGTGTGTCTAGGCAACTGATGGGAGTATGTTATCAGGAAGTGGTGGAATATAGAGGTTTCAGAATATATAGTATGGAATGGTGTACTTAGCATAATTAAGGATGAGTACTGGAGTGACCAAAATGATTTGTAGAATGTGTCTACCTGTCACTGTGTTAAGAAGTATTCTGTTATACTGTGATGCAATATGGGCTTCTCCGAGTTCATCAAGGGTTAATGTTTTTGAGGGAAGTGGGAAAACATGACATCTTGGCATGACAGATTTTCGAAAACCTGTCATTTCTATTGGATAGAATTGCTGTCTTGCAGTTATTTATTGAGACAGTTGAGTATAACGTGTTCACGAAGCATTTAAATTTCCTCCTCCATTGCGGGATGTTTTTAAGTAGCTGAAAACCTGAATTTCGATTTTAAAAAACATGCCACACCAAAAACGAAAATCCACAATACGGTTTGACAAGAGGGGCTGAGCCCGTTTCCAGGGCCCTTGCTACCATTCACGATTTGAGAATGCTTGCCAAATATGCTGCATTCCATCCTTATTCCTTGTTATTTAACTCTCATGGTTTGGCTGCACGGTTACTAGTACTTGTCCTAAGAAGATATTCTTTTACAATTTCCAGTGGCTCACCACCTATTGCAATGTGTTTTCTGCCTGGACTGCTGTACATTAATTTTATGCATATTGATTTTCAGACCTACTCTTCTGCTTTCCGTGTCCAGTTCAGTAACCATGATCAGTCATTCCTCCCCCGAGTTGCTCATCAATGCCATGTCATCAGCGAAATGCACGTTCCTAAGATACTCTGTATTAACTCTTAGCCCTAACTCTCCCCAATCTATGGCCCTGAAAACCTCCTATGAACCGGCGGCGAATAGCAATCGAGAGATCCCATCTCCCTGCCTCGCACCCTTTTTTATTGGGATTCCGTCACTTTCTTTAGGGAACGCTATGATGGCTGTGGATCCGACATAGATTTCTCCCATTTTCTCAGGTGCCTTCTTTTTAAACTAAGTAGATTCACAGCTGCCGGCACCCACTCTTTGACGTCATACAGCGGGTATCATGCCATTGGTCGACAGCCGGCATAAATAGAGGATCAGGTGCGCTTCTTGCCACCTCATGGCAAGAAGCGCATCTGGCAAGAAGAAGCAGAAGCAGCTGCCTGAACAAGTATGGCTCGGAGTTGTTTGCTAAAGGGTTAGCACTTTACCTACAATTTTTTTTTTTCTTTCACGCAGTAGCATCACACATACACGACTCCAGTTGATCGACTTGACCTGCTGCTGCATTAAAGAACTGTTCCAGCAACAACGGGGTCACACCATTCTCTTGCAAAAAAAAAAAAAAAAAAAGTTTTGCGGAATGCAGAGGACAACGAGATATCTTACGTTGCAGGGTCCTCAAGGTGCATCTCGAGAGCCCGTGCAACCTGCCACTCTCCCAGCTGTGGAGTGCTGCCACACACAAACACGGTCTCGCCATGCAGGGTGACTGCCTGCACCCTCAGATGAAGCTGCCGACAGCTGTCATTGGCTAGTTCCAAGGCTGCTTCAGAAGGAAATGGACTAGAAACATTGGTCATCCAGCTTGCAAACATTCTTGTAGCTGCTGCACAAAACAGGAAGGAACAGAAAATACATATAACTACGTTGATCGGGACAGCAAGTCCTAATAACAGTAATAAAGATAGAAAAAATGCTGCTGCAGACTAGCTGAATTGCCTTTCAAAAGTGGTTTCCAAACCATGTAAAGAACCCTGGCACAGTTTCCATTTTGCATAAATGCATTCAGCTGCTAGTTCCGGTCCGTGTAGAATTTAAGAACCCCTACAAGCACCTTGCTCATGGTGTATAACTGATAAGTTTTAAAATATGTATCATTTAATGTAGTTCCTGAAAAACCCTGATGCTGGGAGAAGTTTGCCTCGCCCATGATTTTATAAAAGTGTTCTTCTAAAATGTTATATTTATAAAATAATTTCATCCTGAACAGAAACTTATCTGCTGAGTTCTTCAGTTGTCACTCACAATAGGGGAGCAAAAAATGCCACAATTAAAAATTGCAGGTTTTTCAATGACAAAAATCTCACCCACATAAGACCACTTACACATCACCCCTTCAATCTTTTTCAAGAAGTTTGTGCAAGATACGGTATGTCATATGCCATAGCAGATAATGAAAACCACATTAAAGCTAGTTTCAAATACTATGTATTGATACGAAAGCCTAGCACTTAACATATAGGCATGCCAAGTTTGCCACTCTATGCTGCACCATCTCGGTGCTCACACAAAGGAAGTGCTTTTTACAAGAAAAACAAAATTGCAAAAAAAAAAACAGGTAAACAGTAGTGAATTTGCTGCTTTAAGAAATTGACTATAGAATTTAAGGGGAAGAAAAAGAAAAGCTTTTCCCATTCATAGGTGTGGATAAGCACTGATTAAAAAAAGAAAGGTTTTTGTGTGGTCATACATTCCAAAGATAATGTGATTTAAAACCAGTATTCCAATAAAAGCTCCAACATTTTATAGTAAACCGCAAAGGAAGCATCACTTTTTTTAATACTAACACCGTGCTTTATGATATTGCTACACGAGTTTCATGCTCATTCAATCACTTCAATTTGATGGTGTGTTACAACACACCTTTTTTATGCATCATTATATATAAAGAAATGCAAGCGCAAAAATTACCGACAACAATAAATGTTAAACAAATAAGATAAAAGCAAAAGAATATGCGAATGAATATGCGAAAAGAATATGCTTCGTAGCATTTCAGTCTTTGCTGCCCTGACTGAAATGCTACAAAGCAGTTCACGTGATGGCTCATGCTAAGGAATTTCACACCAAGTGTAACCAACAAAGCATCGCAGGCTCAAAACACTTCTTTATAGTCCCCTCTCTTAGATATGAAGAAAACGTCATAGCACCCAGAAGCCACACGTCCAACATCCAGAGCCCACTCCGACATCCCTCCAAAAGGCCGTACAGCGAAGGCGCGCTTCAAGAGACGCAAGCATCACGCACCTTGGAAGAGCAAAGCGTCACGGTTCTGCCTCGCGTCGACGCCGCGCACGAACGGTCGAGTCTGCATTAGGGGGGTCCCTCAAGGACAACGCAACCGCCTCGTCACGCCACTCCCTCAGCGCTCGTCGTCAGGAGCCCAGGCCGAGGAGGAAACGAGTTCGGACGCAGGAGAAAAGCCACAAAACATGGCATTTGCGAGCAGAGAGAGAGAAACTTGGTGACGTCATCAGTGACGCTTCCGAGACGCGCGCGCCCCGTGAGGCTTGACTGCGGGCTGCGTGGCTGGCTGAGCGGCACACAGCTGGACGAAGGCACGCCCTTGACAACAGAGCGCGCTCCGCTAAAAATGCCCTGTGCCGCAATTACGAAGAAATCGGCGAACTACTACAGCCCTCACCGCGGCGTAGGCTTCGCCGCGCGCGCTTCGACTAACGATGGCCCACTTGTACGGCTTCCCGCCTAGGACTGACTGACCAAAGTAAAATTTCCAAAATACCACACAGACTTTGCGGCAAGAAGCGAGATTCTATCGTATGGTACGAAGAACAGTGCCATGTCGCACTGAAGCCCAATACCGAAATAGATGCAGCAGACATTGATTCTCTTTTTTTTTTTTTAACTTTCGGCGGGGGGAGGAGAACCAGACAGCCGTGCTGGTTAACTACAGAAATTTGGGCCCCGGGCATGCTTAAATTACAGAGCAAGAATTTAATAGAGCGCTCATAGAATCTGAAAACAAGAAATGTCACTTAGCGACACCTGTTCGCACCCTGCAGTGGAACATTTGAATGACTGAATGACAAATAAATCTAGGCGGCAAACGGCAACTTATTTTCCAGCTATTTTTTTAGCGTCCCATTTCCATGCGGTAAACAAAAACGGCGCATCTGGCTAACGTGTTCAACAAACTAGTCCTCACCAGCCCGATTCTTTGAAACACAACGCATACCCGAATGCAATTAATTTAAGGCTAAGTGGATTTGTGTTAATTAGAAATTCAACCTGTCAGTACCGTACAACTTCAATGGCCAGCAACCCAAACAAAGACATGCCCCCCTCCCCCCCCCCCCCAAAAAAAAAAAGATGCGTCATTTTTTAAGCGTCACTTAAAGGGGCCCTCTAACACTTTTCACGACCTCATTGTTTTATATGTTTTTCTAACTGGTTGCGTACACTGAAGGCTAAAGAGATAAGTGCCGCAAGAACGGCAGCGATAGGGGCACGCAGTGCGAAGTTATTCTGCGTAGAGATATCAAAATACAATGAAATGGATGCTTACCCTCATCTCGATTTTAGCGGGCTCACCTGACTGTTTCCCTCGCCCTGTGATGCCGGAAGGCTGCCCAATGAAATTAACTGAAAGCCCTACCATACAGGAAGCGTGCATGCCATATTGCCCGTTATGTACAACGTATTGCGGACGGCGTTACGATGGTAACAAATAATGTGGTACTTGAAGAAGGAACGACACGTGCGAGAAGAGGCAGCTCGCGAACGCTTCTATAATGTTTTTTTTTTTTTTTTTTTAGTTTTTGCGATACGAAGTGTTTCAGCTAAAAAGCACCATGGTGCTTTTTTGTATTGCTTGCAAGCAATAAAAAAAAATTAAAAATGAGTGCTACGCGTCTCCAGCTAGCGCAGTATTGTTCTTAGCTGTATGTAGCAGGTCAGAATTTTTTTTTCATCCACCCAGCACGGTAATTAACAAATATTGCTTAATAAACTTTTTTTTAATATTGACTCTAGAGAAAAAAAATTCAATACAAGACTTGTAGCTCTTATCCAGAAATAATATTTCCAAGTTACGGTAAGATGAAAACGCTGGTTAATTTTTTTTTTTCCGGGGTTTGTTTAAAGTGCGCGAAATTCAAAAAATGTCACGTCAACGTGCGGTGCTTTGAGTGCCCTCAAATGTAAGTTGAACGAATTAGCGATGGCTTCTCACGCACGAAGGTCGCTTGAGCAGGCTATCGGTGACTACGATGGACATTAAGCGATGGCTGGATGGTACCATTAAAAAAAAAAAGGGGGGGGGGGAGGGGACAAAGAAAGAAACGAAGACATTAAACTTGGACGAAAAGGCGGCTGCCACGTGCATTGCGATACTAGACTGGAGGCAACATTCGGCACAGCGCCGATTTTTTTTTTTTTTTCGTGCCAACGATAAACATGGTGGTGCGGGAGATGGTGACATTTTGATTAAGGAAGGATATAAAAACTTCAAAGGTAATTATTTCAGAACTTTTTTCAACATTGATTACATGCGATTGCTCGACTGGATATTTGCAAGAAATACGGCATCGATTGGCTGTGGGTTCAAAAGATTGTTGCTCGTACTTCGGCTCCATTTAGAAATTCACCTTTCATATTTAGTACCCGTCTGTGAGAGGGCAGTGCGTATAAATAAACAGAACGAATTAAAAAGTGTTCTGTGCTCTTATAGCTAACTCTTATATAGTAGCAAAGCTCGGTGTAAGAAAAAGATCAGCGTAATTGCAAAGTCCAGAGCACTTTTATTGAGACGTCTTGGGCAGTTACATAGCGTGCTCAAGCAGCCCTCCGTCAATCCCTATACACAATCTACATCGAGTCAGCACGTTTTCCGTCGCCTTTCATAGCATCTGTGGAGTGTACACATCTGCCATTTTAGGCTTCAGTCTTGCGGGCACATTATGTCGTCGCTTCGGTGTAGGCGTGCTCTTTAATGTAACCCCACAGAAATAAATCTAGCGGAGTCAAATCTGGGGATCTTGCAGGCCACTCTACAGGTCCAAGACGGCAGTTCAATTTCTCTAGTTATCCTCCATCAAGCCACGTTCGAGTCCGCGCGCAGCTGTGCGGAGGAGCTCCGTCTCGCTGGAACCAGATATTTTCAGGTGAAATCACTCAGTGAGCCATTTAGTATTTCGCTGATTAGCGTTCTGCAGAGAGTGTTCTATCAAAAAATACCGGGCCAACAATTTTGCCTTCGTAAATGCCGCACCAAACACTGAAAGACTATACTGCACCTGGTGTTGCGACTGCAACAGCCAGTGAGGATTTGTAGCGCTCCAGTAATGACCATTGTGAACATTCACTTGATCAGACCAAATTATGTTCTTCAGCAAGCCGGGATTACCTTGTATGAGCATCAAGTTGCAGAAGCCAAGACGGCTCTGCAAATCTCTGTCTTTCAGCTGTTGATGCCGGTAAACACGATATGGGTGAAGTCCTCCGCTCTTGAGTACGCGCCACACTACCGCTGGAAACACCGGTCTCAGCACTCACGTCGCGCACGCTTGCGTGGGGATGGGCTGCCATGCAAGCGAAAATGTCTGTTTTAAGAGACTCAGTCACAACTTTTGTGCGCTGACGGTGCTCCGTCGAAATTACGAAATGCCTTTCTCCTTGGGCATTTCGTAACTTCGCACCGATTCCGAACTATTTACCCGAATTCCCGAGTCATCTGCAAAATAATCTTGCCGCCTCTCTCCTGATTCCGTTCACTCGGTCGAGGGCGAAAACGATATTCACACGTTCTTCATTAATGAAACGCGTCGTTCCAGACTCAAACTTTCCTTGTCGAAGCGTGTCCAAAAA